TCTGAATTTATTAATTAAACCGTTTTATTTCATGAAGTGCATTTTAAAAATCCTTACAAGTTTCATTTATAGACACTAACTTTAAAAGAGCCATTCCCTTTGGTATGTAGAATGAATTTTCTCAAAACATTAATAGCCTCTTTTCAAAATACACGACTCTTTGAACTTGCAAAGCATGATAATGGTTTCATTGTTAGATACTGAATCTTTTATGGTTTATAATTATGTTGTAATCCTGTTCTCTAGGAGTTTTCTCACAAGAAAATATAGAAATACTCCTCGTTTGCAAGCAGTGACACATAACTGACATGGGAATTCCAGTAACGCCTGTAATGAAAAGAGGAAAATTGGGCTAGGTTTTGTATTAAAAGCACCAAGTCTGTTAAATAAACCATGTGTGATGTTGATACTAGTTAATACTAACATGGTTTTTTAAGGGTGTTCATTTTGAAATCAAAGATTTTCAAGCTAAACATATCATTAGGAATTACATTGTAAGGAAACAGCATTATTTAATTAAATAAAACCTAGAAAAGTTCATCTATACCTATGATATTGTAAAGTTCTTATCTCTGTCTTTTGAAGAGTATAATGGTGTTTATCTAACAATGTAGAAAATAAATAAAAAATTCAGAATGAGCTCAGTATACAAAACGGTGTTTATTTTAGTTAAGGTGAGGATGTACATATTTAGTTGAAGGTGCTAAAATCCGTAACAGAAATTAGGTACTTTTCATCAAAACCTGGAAAATTATGATAGGATATATCCTTGAACCTTAAGGGATTAGATGACGCTTTCCCAGTAATACAATTGTCAAATTCCTTTTTCTGAAACTGTTTCCTCATGTGTTTAGAATCATGGGCTTCCTTTGGGAACTTGGTGGTATATGGATTTCCCTTCAAATTTCATTGTGTTTAGAGACCCCTTAAACTCATTTTAGGATTGTAGAAAGGTGTTTTTTCCAATCATGAGTAATACACAGACCTCTTAAATAGGAATGAAACTTGATATATTAATATAGTGTGTTTCATAACCTTAAATATGTACAACATATAAAGTCTGATAGTAATTTCCTGTGCATCTACTCTTATATAGCTATAAAATGCACAATTATAAAATAGCTAAATTTACCAACATTAATGTGACATGATGAAGTAATATTGAAACTAAATTATCACTTGCAGTGTGAATGTGGTATAGATAGTATAGTTTGAGTTCAGAATGCTGTTAATACCACATCCCATGAAGATTATTAAACTACTTCTCTCTACTTGAACTACTTCATATCTTTTTCTGTTTTGTTTTGTTTTGGATGTCATGTAATTTCAAGGTCTAACAAATAATGTTTCTGTTACAATGAGCCTGCAACAGTTAAAATAGCCTTGCTGTTTGATATCAAGCCACTTGAAAATACTGAAATCACAGTATAGTATTAAGTACTAAGAAACATCTAGATGATCCAGACTCAGCCTCTATTAATTTCACTATAGATTTTCAGGAAAGTAAAGACACAAACTATTAAAGCAAAGCAGTTTCTCATGAGAACTAGTAGACTTCTAGAAACTTTTCTGGTATCAACAGTGTTACTAAAGGATTTCTTACCCATAAATGCAAGACTGAGAAGTCATTGGTTAAATAAATGCTAAATGGTATTGAGTGCTTCTCAAAGTGGTATTATCCCAAACTTTTGAATTATAACAAAGATAAATAAAATCAGAGTTTTGATTATAAGACCTAAGAACTACTGTTCATTAAGAGTTTAGTGTAGGAGTAAATTATTCAAATTCAAGTTTAGGTAAGTGAATTATTCAAATCTCCTTTTGCCTAAGGTGTTCTGTAGAGTTGGTATAATAGGAGCCTCATTCATTACCTTACCAACTGTCTGTAGATTCTGGTAGCCTTAATGTGAGTAAGAAACATTTTGCAAAGATGTTACTACTTTTGTTGATTTTTTTATTTTGGGTGGGTTGGGGGAATAACAAAAACCACTTTTCAATTTTCCATAGATTTCTTGCTATCTGTATCTAATGCCTTCTTATCTCGCCTCCCCAATTTATGTTACTATACCAGATATATCCATTTTTTTAAAAGAAAAATTCTGATAAGACACTAATCTGTTCTTCAGTTTAAACAGAACATTTGAAGCCTAGTATAAGTTTAAATTTAAAAATGTCAAGGACATGTTTGGATAAAGAAAAAACTAAACTGGTTTCACCATAGCCATGTGATCATATTATTTAAACCTTTGGACAATTGCTGTTATGAGTAATCATATGTAAGTTGTTTCTTTACATATGAACCCATGTGTCAAATTTAGTACAAGTTCTACTGTCGACTCCCTATAATTTACAGTGTTTTTCTTTAATGTTGTGTGAAATAGTGCCAGTATTTATTTTGAATTTTACTTAAATTTAATATCATTATTGCCTCAAATTCATACTTTTATCTGGCCTTGAAAAATTTAAAGTGTCATTTTCAAAGTTTTGTAAGATTTCCAAGTAAAATATATTATTTTTTTCTTACAAGAAAGATGCCTATAAGAGTTGTAAGCAATATAATTGCTTAGGCCTTTAATATTTGATTACTAATTATTGGCAGTTGTGATTGCAGGTATTAGTGACATACAAATATTTATTCAGTATATTTCAAAAGTCTTAAAATGATTTTTATTAATATGAATTTTTAAACAAGTTTCAGTTTTCAGAATTTTTCATAAAAATTGGTGTTTGGGGCCTCCCTGGTGGCGCAGTGGGTTGAGCACAGCACAGCGCTGTGAAGCTGTCCACAGCCTGTGCTCCGAGGGATTCCCAGCCTGCCAGGGAGATTCCCACATGGCACAGCAGACCTCCCCTGTCATGCCTGTTGCTCCCCTCAGCAGTGCTTTCCATCTGTCTGCCTGTTCTGCTCTGCACTCTTGTCTCTGGTGGATTCCTCTTACCCTCCTGTGCCTCTGGTCTGTACCTCAGCTATTATATAAATAAAAAAATAAATCTTTAAAAAAAAATTAGTATTTGAAGTATATAAGATAAAATTATGCTCACCTTTAAAAGACCTGTTCATTACATTATAAAATAGCTTAATTTGAATTCAGACTAAAATGACTTTTCCTGTGACCTAGAGATAGACCTTTTAAAATGGGGCAAGTCTGGGCCTCCCTGGTGACACAGGGGTTAAATCTCAGCACTGTCAAGCTGTTGCCAGCCACTGCAGCATGTGTTTCATCCCTGGCCAAGGAGCTGACCCACGTGGTGCAGCAGACCTCTCCTGCCATGTCCGATGCTCCCCTCAGCAGTGTATTTCAGTAGATCCGCATGTTCTGCTCCTTACTGTGTTTCTGGTGAATCCTCTCGCATACACCCGCACCTCTGGCCTGCACCCCAGTTCTTGTATGCATAAATAAATAAAAATAAATCTTTTAAAAAAATAAAATAGCAAAATGGGGCAGATCTATAGATGTAATCATTCTTGACTTAATAGGGTTTTTTTGGTTATTTTGCTTGACAGCTCTTCTATAACTTAGTTGGGGATAATAATGACAGCTTATTACATTTAGAATGTTTACTGTGCATTATCCATTGTGTTAGGTAGCAGGTATATTATCTCTCTTAAATCTGTCTTTTGAGGTAAGTATTGAATATACTGCAGTTAGAAAGTAAATTTAGAAAGTTAAGCAACTGACCAAGTGAGATATGAAGGTGTCAGTTTTTCTGTAGGGCACTTGTACTACTGACTCCCAGCGCCTACCAGTGGGTCGTTATTACCCTGCAGTTTTACTGCTCTAACCATATTCATTTCTGTGCCCATCATTGTATTTCCAACACTGACCTAATGATGGAATATAAAGTTTTCAGATAATAGTAATAATGCTCTGAGGAAGAGGTAGACAGAAGGGTATTACTAACATCTTACTGAATAGAGTCAGTGTATAAAAATATTTTGTAAAGTGGCAAAAATGTGCAAAACCTCAAAATACACATTTCAACAAGGAAAGTTTTTGGCTTGGTGCCCTTAAGGGAAACTATAATCTAAGTTTCCATATACATGATTCAGGATAAATTTCCACATATAACAGATCATCATGTAATACATAACAAAATAGTGGCCAGGTTGCATGAGGGAGATCTTTGGTTGACTTTTTAAATGAATTTATTCCTTCATTTAACAATAAATGCCTACTATGTACCAGAAACTATTCTGGTGGCAGTATACAGTTTGTGTGAAACAAGCATAAATTCCTCCCTGCATGGAGCTCAGAGTTTCGGATCCATGGGTTACTTCTTGTATTAAAATGTATGTCTATTTTATATCTACTTGTGAATTACAAGATGTTGTAAGAATCCTGTTGGGAATTATTCTCTAAAGTGAAGAATCACTTTCTGTGAGTTTCCGCGATGGCTCTAGGAATTTTGTTCATGAGCACTGCAGCTGCACTCAGCTCTTAGTATACATGCATATTGTGCTTGGTTTCCTAGTTTCCACCAAATGAGGGACAAAGAGTAGTTGAAAATGGTTCAGATGAAGCTAATAATAGAATTTGAAATTTGGGGTTTTTTTGATGGGGGTGGATAGTAATAAGTTAAAAAAGAATTTTTATCTCACAACTATATAAAATCAATTATCTTCCACTATATGAAGGGCAGTTCACTTAAACTTCAACATGAGACATTTGCTATAAGATAATTTCTGCTAACACCTTTATCCTTTGTTTAGGCTTTGACTGTACTGATTGTAGAGATCTGAATGTAGGATTCAAGTTTTTTAATTAATATTACTGGAGGATTATTTTAAGTATAGTTTCATCTGAATAAATGTGAGTTAAACCTGCAATGTGCTCTAAGGGCCCCATCCCAAAATGAGAGTTAAAAAAAAATCATAGAACTTATTATGCTTCATCATGAATTAATACTCTATGAAATGTTATTGCTTAGATCAGTTGTATGTACTGTCCCCTTCCCAGTTTTTTAATCTTAAAGAAAATGAATTTCTTATGAACATCCAGGCAAACTCTTCCACATAGACTTTGGATATATTTTGGGTCGGGATCCGAAGCCTCTTCCACCCCCAATGAAGCTTAATAAAGAAATGGTGGAAGGAATGGGAGGCACCCAGAGCGAGCAGTACCAAGAGTTCCGTAAACAGTGTTACACTGCTTTTCTCCACCTTCGAAGGTAAGTTGAATTGCTCGGTATGGACAATTTTGGTAAGCTCATTTCAAAGAACAATAAAGGTAGTTGTTTAAATCATTCTTTTTCAAAATGACACACGCAACAATATTTCCTAGTGTACATTTGATATTTTGATAAACAGTTTGATATCAAAGAAAAACAGAATTCCTTGCTTTTCCACTAATTTTCCGACTGCTAAATCCCACCAAAGGTTAAGCTGGCATTACACAAGATTAGGCAAACACAGGCTTCAAAATCAGAGGTTGAAATCATGTTAATATAATATGCTCTGTGTTCTTTGACAGTACTGGCGCAGAGAAAAGGTTGAGAAGCTTTACAACATTTAGATCTTTCTGCAGCCAGACTTGAAGGAGTATAATCACCTACCTGACTCCCACATTTTTTTTTATCGTAGAGTGAAGTATCTGGCATATTTAGAGTGATATTTAAATGGAGCCATTTTTAGCATCCTTAGTTTTGGCTGCTCCTTGGGAGCTTTCAGAAATGTGTTAAATGATTAAAGAGTAAATGTTATATATTATTGTTTCTTAAGCGCCTCATCAGTCACTCTACTGAAAAAGTGTATTGATTATTCTTTGTCCCTTCTTTTTCTCCAATGAGATACAATGTCACTGTCTGCTTTCTTCATCTTAACTTACTTAAGAGTGAACATCAAAGCATCAGAAAAAAATTAAAAGGCAAAGACTTCCCCAGTGGTGCAGAGGGTTGAGCGCTCTGCTGTGAGGCTGTCCACAGACTCTGCAGCATGGGTTCGAATCCCGGCTGGCCAGGGAGAAACCCACATGGCGGGGCAGCCTCCCCTGCCTCTCCTGCTGCTCCCCTCAGCAGTGTCTTCAGTTAGTCTGCCTGTTTCGATCCCCGCTCTGTCTCTGGTGAATTCTCTCAGCCTCCCGCGTCTCTGACCTGTACCCCAGTTCCTGTATAAAATAAATAAATCTTTTAAAAAAAATTAAAAGTCAAGTTTGTTAAATTCAAGACTTGGGGGCCTCCTTGCGTGCACAAGGGGTTAAGTCTCATCACTGTGAAGTTTGATCCCTACCCAGGGAGCTAACCCACATGGCACAGCAGACCTCTCCTGACTTACCTGCTGCTCACCTCAGCAGTGTATTTCAGTCAGTCCACCATTTCTGCTCCCCACTCTGTCTCTGGTGAATCCTCTCACTCCCCACCTCCCCCCGGTGCCCCTGGCCTACACCCCAGCTCTTCTATGCATAAAATAAGTAAAATAAATCTTAAAAAAAAAATTCAGGACATGGCTATAATGATTACTCAAAAACGACAAGCTCATTTGACTCTAACTCTGTTTTCAACCTAACTATGTGAAATGAATTTTCTTAGTCCAGTAGAAAAGTCCAGCACAGAAGACAGATTAACCTTCATGCTCTTCCAGATTAAAATACAATCAGTAGACATTGAATTTTCTATGTGTGCACTGTCTTGTTTATAACATGAGTTAGTTATTCAGTGGTTAAAACATAGACACAATATGTTGTTAACTGAATATCATGTACATGCATTTTACAAATGATCATATTATTTAGCCTGTAGGTGGTAGAGTGGTTCACTTTCACTTCCCAGAAATGCTAAAGGAATAATGAGAAGATTGGCACTCTTTTGATTTGCTTGATGATGCAGAAGCACTTGGAGAGAAATGAGAATTCCACTTTAATATCTTGGATTTTTTTCATGTAAAATAGTTAGAGCCTGCAGAATACTAGATGGAGCCATTGCGATCTCATTGAGGAGAAAGTCAGAATGATATAAAATGATAACTAGAGAAATGTCAAAGGTGCTCTGTGTTATTGAAAGCAGAAGAAAAACAATATGTTTTATAAACTGTCATGTAGAATGAGAAAACACAGACAGATTATTAATGTGCAGCCAAAGTTAACTTTCCTCAGAAAAGGCTTTCCTAAGAAAAATCACAAAGAGATTATTCCAAATAATTTTATGTCAAGTCATCATGAAAACTTCAATTTTTAATTTTTAAAAATTTCACTGTAGTTTAGTTATGATTTGCTAGATCCTGATGTTTTAATCAACATTTATTTTTTAATGTATTTAATATATGGTTAAGTTAGTAAAAATTTCCTTCTCAATATGAGAATTAGGCCAATAGGTGAAAGTTAATTTGGATTTTACATTATTTGGCACTTTTATTATTAGGTTTGTTGATATGACCAACTTTTCATGATTTCTGCCCCAAGAAGCTGGTGAATACCATTGGACCACAGACACAGTCCCTTTCAGACAGAGTCCTGGGTGGTTGCAGTTGTTCAGATGTCAAAACACATTTGACGCTCATGTAGCTGTTATGTAACAAAAAATTCATTCTCCAAAGAGCTACTGGTAAAATAGGTATTGATTAATAAAAGGGAATAATTTATTTTTTGAATATGCTGTCATGGCAACAGTAATTCTAAATTATTTTAAATCTTATGTGTTCAAGGAAAGTATAACTACTTCTCCTAACCCTTATTTATGCCAAATATCAAGTTAAGCATTGATAATGCACAGATGGCCTAAAGCTTTCAGGAAAAATTCTGAAATTGGGAATGTATTTAACTATATCAAGTAAAGATCTTACATTATTACAGAAGATCTTTGCCTGCTCACCAGTGAATTTCTTAATCACACTACCTTTCATCATTAATGTTATTGTTTTCCCTCCTTGAAGTAGTACAATTATTAAATTAATTTTTGTTATCAGATACTATGCTATTTATTACATGCAAAATGGAGAGATTGTCAGGGAAATAGACCTGGAACATTCCAGTGAGACTTGATGTAGTAAGATGCATTTCTGTTTTTACTATTGAATATTTTTACTGAACTGTTTAGACCATCTCTGTAAGAGCAGTGAGTGGCAAGGTGGTTAACATAAACACAGGTAAGAGAAAGAGAACATTTTCCCCCCGAACACTGTACTCAACTCACTCATTTTAAATAGTCTAAATTATTCCAGTCCTTATATCTTTTTTTTTTAATAAAGAACTTTATTTTTTTTAAAGATTTATTTATTTATTTGTACAAGCACTGGGTATAGTCAGAAGCATGGGAGGGTGAGAGAATTCACCAGAGCCAGAGTGAGGAACAGAACAGGCGGACTGACAAAATACACTGCTAAGGGGAGCAGTGAGCACGGTAGGAGAGGTCTATTGCACCATGTGGGACCCTCCCAGTGGCTGGGGATGGAACCGGCAGTGCTGCAGAGGCTGGGGGCAGCTTCGCAGCCCAGCACTCAACCGCTGCACCAATAGAGGAGGCCCAGTTCTTATATCTTTGTCATCATTTAGAGCTAAACTTGGCCACTCCCTCTTATCAATAATAGTAAATTTAACCTTCCAAAATCTTCATCCCAAATTTCCACTCTGACCAACTCCTCTTACTCTTATAGCTCATTTTTGAATGTCCCTTATTCAAATGAATCTTCAACCTTACACTTGATACTTCTAGTCTCACCAGCCTACCATTTTATATAATAGACTTCATAGACTCAATTTTCTTCTTTCCACTCAATTTTGTGCTCCCAAACTATAATCACTTTTAGTGCTCATCTTCCTAAACTGTCCCTCAAACATTTTTTTATCCAGTCCTATGACCTCACTTACTCCAACCCCCAACTCTAATCAGAACTGTCTGCTCCCTGTTTGATGTGTGCAGGGCACCAGTTGATATGCTGAAGAAAGTCAGTCCATCATGGTGTTCTCTACATCAGTTTTTTTTTTTTTTTTTAATTCCCCATACAATTGCAACCCCCTGATTTTGACCCCAATCCCACCTTTCTCCGCCCCCCCCCAAAAAAAAAAAGTGTGTCTCTGGTTCATAGTTGTTTGTTGATTTTGATTTTTTTCTTTCTTATAGTTATTCTTTTTCCTGGTCCCTTATTTAGGTTTTCTAGATTCCTGCTATGAGTGAGATCATCCGGTATTTTTCTTTTTCTTTCTGGCTTATTTCGCTGAGCATGATCCCTTCCAGCTCCATACATATTGCTGCAAATTGCATGTGTTTATCTTTTTGGAATGCTGAGTAATATTCCATGGTGTATATGTACCACATCTTCTTGATCCAGTCATCTATTTTTGGGCATTTGGGTTGTTTCCAAAGCTTAGCTATTGTAAATTGTGCTGCTATAAACATAGGGGTGCAGGCGCTCTTTGGAATTAATGTTTCTGTGTCCTTTGGGTAAATACCTAGGAGTGGAATTGCTGGATCATATGGAAGCTCTATTTTTAGTAGGTTGAGGAATCTCCACACAGCTTTCCATAGTGGTTGGACCAGTTTGCACTCCCACCAACAGTACAGGAGAGTTCCTTTCTCTCCACATCCTCGCCAACATTTGTTGTTGCTAGTTTTTTTAATATGTGCCATTCTCACTGGTGTGAGATGGTATCTCATTGTAGTTTTGATTTGCATTTCCCTGATTGCAAGTGAAGTTGAACATTTTTCATATGCCTGGTGGCCATTTGTATTTCCTCTTTGGTGAAGTTGCTTTTTAGCTTTTCTGCCCATTTTTTGACTGGATTATGTACTTTGTTTTTGTTGAGTCTCATCAGCTCTTTGTAGATTTTTGTGCTCAGTCCTTTATCATTAGTGTTGGGTGCAAAAATTTTCTCTCAGTTGGTGGGGTTTCTCTTTATTTTTGTTATTGTGTCTCGTTTGCTGTGCAGAAGCTCTTTAATTTGATGTAGTCCCAGCTGTTTTTATCTTTGCCTTCACTATCACTGCTTTGGGTGATGTGTCTGTAAAGATGTCTTTGAGGTATATGTCATGTAGTGTTTCGCCTGTATTTCTTTCTATATATTTTATGGTTTCAGGTCTTATGTCTAGTTCTTTAATCCATTTTGAGTTGGTTTTTGTGCATGGTGTGAGGTAGTAGTCAAGCTTCATTCTTTTGTATGTAGCAACCCAGTTTTCCCAGCACCATTTATTGAACAAACTTTCTTTGCTCCAATGCATAGTCTTTGCTCCTTTGTCAAAGATTAGTTGACCATAGATCTGTGGGTTTATTTCTGGGTTTTCTGTTCTGTTCCATTGGTCCATGTGTCTGTTCTGGTTCCAATACTATGCAGTTTTGATTATTATGGCTTTGTAGTATAGTTTGAAATCTGGGCAAGTGATGCCTCCATCCCCTTCTTTTTTTTTCAGGAAGGTTTTGGCTATTCGGGGGTTTTGGTGGCTCCATATGAATTTCATCAATATTTTTTCTATTTCTTTGAAGAATGACATTGAAATTTTTATTGGAATAGCATTAAATCTGTAAATTGCTTTTGGTAGGATAGCCATTTTGATAATGTTAATTCTTCCGATCCTTGAGCAGGGGATGTCTTTCCATTTCTTTGTGTCTACTTCTATTTCTTCAACAGTGTTTTATAGTTTTCTTTGTATAGATCCTTTACTTCTTTTGTTAGGTTTGTTCCCAAGTATTTGATTTTTTTGTTTCAATAATAAAAGGAATGGTTTTCTTGATTTCTTCTTCTTCAGATTTATTGTTTGTGTGTAGGAAGGCTACTGACTTTTGTGTCACCATCAGTTTTAACTTGTGCTTCTCACCTGGAATCTATTTCATACTCCTCTTCCCCCCAGAGTACATTTGGCTGCATGTAGTTATCACAACTGGGTGAATGCCATTGACATCTAGTCAGGAGAGCCAGTGACAACTCGACATTACACCACAGTTCTGTTGCTTCACTTCCTTCACAGCACATTCTCTTTAAAACTTTTTGTTTTCACTTTCTCCTCTTACATGCTTTTTTTTCTTCCTTCAGCTTTCTACAGTAAGAATTCTGGTCAGACTCTGCTTTTGAAACTCATGTCATTAAAGAGTTACCTATACCAGATCTAGTGTCCATCTTTGTTTCTAGCCACTTTGACATAGTTGACTATTCTTTTGTGACTAAAAACCTTTCTTAGATTCCATGTAACTCATTTCCTGTTTCATTTTTTCCTTACTGGTCACTCCTGTTTCTTTGCTGATTTCTTCTGACCTCTACATATTGAACTGCTGAGAAGTGCTATTATCAATATAACAGATTTATTTCTGCAGCTTTTTTACCCCGAAATTCTCTTTTTTAAGAATATTCATCCAGACTGTGACTTTAGAGAGAATGTTAATGCTGATAACTTTAATAACACCAGTTCTGATATTCCACTGAGTTACATCTGTCTACTTGACATCTCTATGAGGTATCTATCTAGTATGCATCTCAAGCTTAAAATTTTAAGACAAAAGTCTTTTTTTTTTTTTTTTTCTTTCCCAAGCTTTATCTACCTATGCATACAAGAGCTGGGGCACAGGCCAGAGATGTGGGGAGTGAGAATATCCACCAGAGACAGAGTGGGGAACAGATCAGACAGATCAACCAAAACACACTGCTGAGGGGAGCAGCAGGCGAGACAGGAGAGGTCTGTTGTACCATGTGGGTAGCTCCCTGGCTGGCCAAGGATTGAACTTGTGCTACAGAGGCTGCAGATTGCTTCATAGTGCAGTGCTTAACCCCTTGCACCACCAGAGAGGCCCTTTTAGACAAGATTCTTCATTCCCTTACCAAAATCTTGTTCTTTGTTCATTCACTCATTCTTATTTTGATAAGTAATAGTAATTTTTCATTATTTGAGCTGTATCCTTGGTGACATTCAATTCCTTTTCTTCTGTACTCCATTGAAACCTTAAACAAGTGTCATTCACTTCCATCTCCAAATTATAGCCTGGTAGCCTCTATATTTTTTCTTTTCTGCCTGAGTATCTGTGAAATAGTTCCCCTGTTTCCATTCTTATTCCCATAAAATGGCCAGTAAAAGCTTTTACAAATGCATATCTCAGTGTCTCACTCTACTTTTTTTTTTTAAATATTTATTTTATTTATTTATGCATACAAGAATTGGGATGTAGGCCAGAGGTGCAGGGGATACAAGGATTCACCAGAGACAGAGGGGGGAGCAGAACAGGCAGATCTACTGAAATACACTGCTGAGAGGAGCAGCAGGCGAAACAGGAAAGGTCTTCTGTGCCATGTGAGTCACCTTCCTGGCCTGGGATGGAACTCAGGCCACAGTGGCTGGTGATTGCTTGATAGCGCCAAGACTTAACTCCTGCGCCACCTAAAGTCATTTGCTTTCCAGCACAGTTACAATAAGTTCATACCTCTTTAAGATGACTCCTCTTTCCACCCATCAATATTTGACCCATTTCCCTGTTTTTTATTATTTTGTTTAATCTTTTTTATCAGGTATTTGATACCATGTTTATCAGTTTTTTTGTGTAAATCCTCATCCTACTCCAGAATGTAAGTTTCTTGGTGGTAGTGACTTTCCTTGTTCAGTTCACCCCTGTATCCCTAGGCCTAGAACAGCATGTAGAGTGAATACTCAGTAAACATTTGTTGGTTGAATAAATAAAATTATCATATGAGGAGAAATGGAATAACATTTGTGATAGGTTTTTTTTTTATCAATTTTCACAAGGAAATCAGTAACTTTCAGCTAGATTCAAGCTGTTTAGCTGTTATTCTTTTTTCCTGAGGAGTTTAACTCAGTGCCTATTTGATTAGAAGATTGGAGTTTTCATTATATTGCCTTTTCACTTTCATGGACAATATAAAATTCAAAAATGATGATAAAATAGGTAATTTGAAATTCATTGGATAGTCATTTTTATCTGTAAGTTCCCATTATCATTACAGTTCAGGTATTAAGGTTTTATGTAAAAGGTTGTGCTTTTTTACATTATGGAGAGGTAGATGACTGGAATAAAGGTCTGTATCGCCAGAATCCTGACCTTCATCCCTTAGAAAAAACAGTGCAAGGCACTTTCTTGACATTCTTCTGAGACCAATTAAAAATCTTCATTGCCTAAAACTGCCCTTTCTTTACTCATATCCATCCCCAAAGTTAAATGTGAATCTCCTTTTGTCAAGCACTATTAAGAAGAACCTACCCAGAGCATATCTGTCCAAGAGGACAGTGTTTTAGAAAAGAGGAAAAAGTGTGCCCAGTACAGTTTTATACACCTTTCCCCATAAGCCTCCTCCACTTCTGGAAATGAGCATTTGGAATGGTTACATTCTTTTTCTTTATTTAAAGGAAAAGGAAGAGTTTGAGGATTGATAAAGAACTTCTAGCCCTTGTGGGAGTAAGCATAGGTCCAAAGATGATAATGTTTAGATATTTAGCCACCTTTAATACAGTAGAGACTAGCAGTTTTCTCCTTCACTGAGGACTGCTTATATCCAAACGAGCCACTGTAGTTTCTAAAATGATGATTAATATCTCTAGGGAGTAGTTATGAGTGATTAGTGGGATGACGGTATCTCCCTTTGATTCATTCACCCTTGACACATTGAGATAGACTTAAGTTCTCAGAGTCTTGTCATCATTTAGCAAAGACAGATCTTTGTTGTTTAGTAAAATTCTAATTAGATAAAGGGTGGATTCACCTTAGGATCCTTCTAAAAAGCATATGCTTAATAAATAAAAAGAGTATCTTTTGAGATGTTTACTTCAAAAGTTTGTTTCATAGTGTGGGAGCTAGAAATGGCATTTATCAAGACCCCAGAATATTTTTTCAAGGCTTCTTTTTTTCTCAGGCAGCTGATTTATATAATCTTACATTTGTTTTCTATAGGGCTTATAGTAATAATTGTGAAGATCCAAGAACCACTGTTTCTAGGAGTGTTGCTGATATGTGAAAGAATTGAAAAAATTTAATGCATTGCGTTTTTTTTTTTTTCCCCCACTTTCTTTTAGGTACTCTAATCTGATTTTAAACTTGTTCTCCTTGATGGTGGATGCAAACATTCCAGATATTGCTCTTGAACCAGATAAAACTGTGAAAAAGGTAATTTTTAGACATTCTCAGGGATCACAGTCTACTTTTTATATATAGATGTTAAGATTTTAACAACCCATTTTCCTCTGTTGTACCAACCCCTAGACTCTTTTTTTTTTTTTTTAAGATTTATTTATTTATGCATACAAGAGAGCTGGGGTAAGGCCAGAGGTGTGGAGGGTGAGAGGATTCACCAAAGACAGAGTAGGAAACAGAACAGACAGATTGACCGAAGTACACTGCTGAGGGGAGCAGCTGGTGAGGCAGGAGAGGTCTGCTGCACCATGTGGGTTGCTCCCTGGCTGCCCAGGGGATCGAACTTGTGCTGCAGTGGCTGTGGACAGCTTAATAGGTTGCATCTTAACCCCTCGCGCCACCAGGGAGGCCAAGCCCCTATACTCTTTAAGTAAATTAAGAAAGAGACCTTCTCTGTGGCCACTTCTGTCCCCGACCTCTGTCATATCCAAAGTCACATGAATAGGTCACAGTATCTGGAAAGAAAGCTCACCCACGTCGTCTTTTTCTTGGACAAGTTTAGCTCTTCATTAATACTTCTCGTAGGATACCTTGATTCCTAGCATTCCCTGGGCTAAGCATGCTGAGGATCAGAAACAAAACGTTGTTAATACTACATAGGAGAACACAGCTGTTTCTTATCCTTCTTACCTTACCCTTGTTTACAGAGGTCTTTTACTGTGTCAGGAGAGGAGAAACCTTCTTTTTTAACTCAGACTGTGAAGAGAAAAACAAAGGAAAATTGTCATGTGGATGAACAGAATTTTCAAAGCTAGCCTACTGGACATGGATGGAAGGGCAATGGATTTTTCTTCCAATTAATTTCTGATTCTCTGACTGACTGTCAAGGAAGGGAATCTGTGTCAAGCACTTTATTTACCCCAAAAATATCATAAGATGATCATAAATATCAGTGTGATTATCAATATCGAACTACAAAGAAAAATAGTAGAGCTTTTTCACTTGTATATTATTAAAGGACAGTAGCAGTCTTAGAGATGGAGTTGAAAATAATTGATGTCAAAAGCCCTACATTCTGATGTACCTGATTAAACATTGTTAGATAATTCTGTGGGTTGGACACTGTCTTAGTCCATTTGGGCTGTTTATGACAAAATTCCAGAGACTGAGTGGTTTATAAACAGCAAAAATTTATTCCTCAAAAATTTATTCCTGGAGAGTGGATGTCAAATCAGGATGCCAGCAGGACAGGTGAGGGCCCTTTTTAGCTGAAGCTCTTGTTGTATCCTCACATGGTAGAAGGCTTTAGGGAGCTCTATGGGGTCTTTTTCATAAGGGCATTAATCTCAGTCATGAGGCTCCACCCTTGTGACCTATGTACCTCCCAAAAGCCCACCTAATACCATGACATATGGGCATTAGGATTCAGCATGTGAATTTAAGGGGGCACAGATGCTCAGACCATGGCAAACATGAACAAAGTTAATCTCTTTTACCTAATTTTATGTCTTTGACAGGCATTGAAAGGGATTTTAATGTAAATATCTTCTTGTTTAGCCATTTAAGAAAATCAGGGTTTTATTAGGATTTCATTTGTTATTTTATCCAGTAAGCACTATTTTAATATTCCCATGGGAAATAGACTGCTTATCACACTTGCTTTATTTCTTGACACCTTGTTTATTTTTTATTGAATAAGGCCCATCCATCAAGAAATATAATTGACTGATAAAAATTTCTTTAGCAATAATTGATGGCTGCACTAGATTCAAATGTTGTTTATTTATTTTGCATTATGTTATTCAGGGTCTGTTTTGCTGTTTATTTTACAACCATTTATCTCTGTCGTACATTCACTCTTCCCTTCCTTCGCTTGTGTTCAGAAGTTATGAAAATTGTAACAGTATTTGTCAAAGTGAGTTAGTTTCCTCTGCCAGCTAATTTAGTTTTTTTTATTCTTACTAGATCTTTTGTCCCAGCTCTCTTTCTCTTTAGGAGATCATGGGGTTTTTTTGTTGAAAACAATGTAAAGCAGTTGTTGTTTGGGATAAAAAATATATGCATCAGTCTTTTTTCCATTAGACCAGAATTCCCTGATTATTCTAGTTTCAATTAAATGAACCTTTAAGAAAAAGGTATTGATATTTTATGTTCATACCTAGTTTATTTGCTCTCTGCTGTTTTTGCAAGAACATGAAGTAATGGATTGCAGTATAAACTTGACATTAAAGTCTAATAGGAATTGGCCTCCCCTGGTAGCTCAGGCGGTTGAGAGCAGCGTTGTGAAGCTGTTCACAGCCTCTACAGCTTGGGTTCGATCCTGGCCAGCCGGAGAGAATCCCTCATGGTGCAGCAGACCTCTCCTGTCTCGCCCGCTGCTCCCCTCAGCAGTGTGCTTCAGTCCTTCTGCCTGTTCTGCTCCCTGCTCTGTCTCTGGTGAATCCTCTCACGCCCCACACCTCTGGGGGGTGAGAAAAGAAATAGATGAAGTAGAAAGGTGAAGTAGAAGTGGATTTTATAATTTGATGAAACAGTGATTGCTGATATAATGTCAGAGTCTTACTACTTAGAACAAATTTCCTTTGGTCTCTTGAATGGATGCCAACTAGAGAAAAACAGTAACACATTTTAGTCTGAAGTCTTCAGCAAATTATCTGAGTAATTATAAAAAAGTGGGGCCTCCCTGGTGGTGCAAGGGGTTAAGAAGCAACCTATAAAGCTATCCGCAGCCACTGCAGCACCAGTTTGATCCCTGGCCAGGGAGCTACCCACATGGCGCAGCAGAACTCTCCTGTCTCACCTGCTGCTCCCCTCAGCAGTGTATTTCAGTCAATCTGCCTGTTCTGTTCCTCTCTCTGGTCTCTGGTGAATCCTCTCAACCCCCCCCCCCACAACCTTTGGCCTGTACCCCAATTCTTGTATGCATAAATAAATAAATCTTTAAAAAAAATTAAAACAAGTGCAATACCTGTCTCCACTACTTAGTTAATATTTATCAGTCTTTTTTGATTTTTTGGAAACTGATTACATATGGAATACATAACATTTTTGTTAATCAGGTGTGTTTATTTCTTCAAAAACCCCATTGCCCAAGAATGGGAGTTAGGGATCAACATTTTAAACATATAATCATCAATCACAAATATCAGTTGAGTACCTGGTTAGAAGTATATTTGTGTGCCACAGTTGCTTGGTGCTGAGATGTTTGCTCAAAAACTTATTTGATCACTTAGTTATTTATAACAAGATTATCCAAGAAGCCTAATAATAATATATACTGATAAAAGCAAATAACTTTCATACTTGTGTAGCTAAAGTGCAGTGAATAGAATAATTTCCAACATTGAGCAAATACTACTTTTTTCTTTATAAATTTTTATATGAAATGTTTAAATTATAAATAATGTGGATGCTGGCCTCCCTGGTGGCACAAGGGGTTAAGCACAGTACTGTGAAGCTATCTGCAGCCTCTGCAGCATGAGTTCGATCCCCTGCCAGCCAAGGAGCTACCCACATGGCGCAGAAGACCTCTCCTGTCTTGCTTGCTGCTCCCCTTAGCAGTGTGTTTCAGTTGGTCTGCTGTTCTATTCTCCACTCTTGTCTCTGGTGAATTCTCTCACCCCCCCACATCTCGGGACTGTACCCCAGTTCTTGTATGCATAAATAAATAAATCTTTTTAAAAAATGTGCATGCTCTTATAACAAATAACTGTTAACCACCATACATACTTAACAAATATTAACATATTGCCCTATCATCTTTAAATCCTCTTTTATTATTAAATCAAATGCTGTAGTTAGAGTGTTACTGTCACTTACAGTGACAGTGATTACCAAAGGGTAATCAGTCTCCTACAATTTTCAGTATATTCTCCCTATGAGTGTTCATTTATTCACCCAACAGTATTTATTGAGCTGTAAATGTGTCAAGTGCTGTCTTAGTGTTTGAATTATAAACAGTAATAAAACAAAATTACCTGTCCTCATGGAGCCTACATGTTAGTAAGGAAAACAAAGAAACAAGTAAGTAAAATATACAGCTTTTTAAGAGTGATTTATTATTATAGAGAACAAGAATTTAAGAAGGCAACCAAGTGTCGGGATACTGTTGGTTTGAAAACTTTAGATTTGTTGGGTTTGAAAGTCCTCACCAAATAAATGCATGTGTGTCAATTTGTTTTAATAAATAAATGAACTGTATTATAAACCTATGTTATGGAGATAAGACTTATAAGTTAAAAACTTATATAGAATGCACCAGTGAATGAAGAAAATGTAAAACATTTGAGATAAAAATCAAATGTATTCCTGGGGAATCATAAACATAACTACTCAAAAGAGTGTTGAAAGAAAGACAATCCTTTATCATTCCTGTTTTCCTTTAAATAATAAAAATGAAATATTTTAAACTGTGCTAAACAAGTTTGTTCAAAATAATTAAACAAGATAATGCTAGTTTGTGTTGAGAAACTAAAAGTGTTCCTATTTTTTTTTTTTTTAAAGATTTATTTATGTGCACAAGAACTGGAGTGTAGGCCAGAGGTGCAGGGGTGGGGTGAGAGGATTCACCAGGTAGCAGAAGAGGCCAGTCTACTGAAATACACTGCTGAGGGGAGCAGTAGGCAAGACAGGAGAGGTCTGCTGTGCTCCCTGGCAGGCTGGGGATTGAACTCTTGATGCAGTGGCTTGCAACAGCTTCATAGCGATGTGCCTTTAACCCCTGTGCCACCAGGGAGACCCCTACTATTCTTTTACTAAACTTCTACTATTCTTTTACTAAACTTCAAAATTAAGAAATTATGTAACACACAACTGCAATTATGTAAAGATCTACTTCAAATGACCTGTAAAATTAAATTTCTCTTGATGCCTGAAAGGATAAGAAAATATAAGTCATAATATCAACTCTCAATGGAATTGTGGCAATGAAGCTTTTTTCTTCAAATATTCTTGTATCTTACCACAATCTTTTACAGTATTGATACTTTTTTAGCAATAGTTAGCTAGGGGTTCAGTTTTCCTCACTTTTTTTTTAATGCCCTTTACTTCTATATTCAAGTCAGATTTTCGTTACTCTGATGCACCTCAAGTAATCAAATGAATTCAGCAAGAAAATAATACTTGGATAAAACTTTTCCTTTCACCCTGATAAATGAAAATTGTTGCTTTGTTGTAATCTTTTTTGTGATTAAATGATTAGGAAGTGAGTTTAGAAATTTTGTTTTTCTAATTCTGATCCTTTAAATTATAAGAATTTAATAGAGGATTCTGTTTTTCTTATATTAATGAAAATTTCTATTTGAAAGATGGTAAAACACTAAATTTTAAGAAAAGCCTTCTTTCTGTGTTAATGTTAAATTAATCTGTCAAAAGGGTAAAGATTAGGTATAAAGGAAATCACTCTACTTTTTATGAAAGATAATGTAGCTTAGTCTAGAAATGTGTTGCAGGGTTTTGTTTGGGAAACAACTTCATGCACCTAAGAATGTGTGTGCAAGACTTTATGTTAGATACTATTAAAAACAAAATTTAATATTTGGCACTAATTGGATGTCAGGCACACATGCACAAACATAGTGCGTGTAATTTGAAAGTGTGATTCCAATATTGTTCAAGAATTTTGGGCTAATCTATGCATTTCATTAAAGTTCACATTTTATAAATTGGTCCTTAGAAACAAAAGGAGTCTTCACTTGTTGTGTAGCTGCCCTTTTGGTGTACAAAGCAATTGAATGCGGGGAGGCCTCTTGCTTAGCTGTCGCATCTCCTTTAGTCTCTTTGAGAGTTTTGTCTGACCCTGTGGTAGAGTAATAGAGCGTAATTGGAGGAAGATGTCTTTTCCTTCTACATACTTAGGGAATTCTTTTCTTTTTTAATTTTTTTAAGATATTATTTATGCAAGAACCGGGGTACAGGCCAGATGCGCGGGAGGGTGAGAGGATTCACCAGAGACAGAGTGGGGAACAGAACAGGCAGACTGACGAAATGCACTGCTGAGGGGAGCAGCGGGCACTAGAGGAGGGTTTGCTCGCCGTGTGGGATTCTCGCTGACTGGCCGGATCAAACCCGCGCTGCAGAGGCTGCAGATAGCTTTACAATGTAGCGCTTAACCATCTGTGCCACTAGGGAGGCCCAGGGAATTCTTAATTATAGGTCTCAAAAGAACTATCTACACATGAAATAATCTCTCATCACCAGAAGCATCAAGTATTATTCATCCCAGATTTATGGGAGAACAGATATAATAAATAGCCAGTGCTTCTTGAGGATGATGGTCTTCCAGATCATTATGTTATTCCTCAGTTACAGATGAGGAAAATATAGTTTTAAATTGGTTTACAAATATAGGAAACCATATTGCTCATTTATTTCTATTTAAATATTAAAGCCAGTAAATATTTAATTTGTGAGTGAAAGTGTGCTAAAATTTCAGTAGAAAAATAAAATACTGAATTTCCAGTGTCCAAATTGAAGTTAGTTGGAAGAAAAAGAAAAAAGATATGACAGATTTCGTAATTAATTGATATACCAAGAACTCAGTAAACTTTAGAACACTGGCCTAATTGCCTAAGGTAGGTGCCACAACTTTCTAATGTGAAATGCCTATGTTTTCCTTTAAAAGCTATGCCCTCAGGAAATTTCTAGTAAATCTTTCAGATGCAAAGAGTCAGGTTAAAATGAAAGAGGGATCTCTCTAGTTCAAAGATACTAAATCTAAAATATTAACTGAAAGTGGGATTTGGATACCTCAGAGACTTTCTGTTACTTGCTAATAAAGCCTAATTGAGTAACTGGTGTGTTTATCATTAATTACATCTCTAGACTCATTTCACTTGAATGATAGTCTGTTGTAGAACATGCAGATTTCCTTTGGCATCTTCTTGTGACAGATGTACACGTTTTCCTTATTTAAATGTGTTATGTTAATTTTTACTTCATCCAATCATGGATGAAAAACTGGAAGAACAGGAAGATAATTTAGTGGACAATAATCCTGATAATCTAAGAGAATAAATAGTTGCCTTTCCAGCACATTTTGAGAAGTTACACACTGCCCTTTAGTGTTAGACTAGGAAAGTTAGGTTGCCTTTTGGTAAGTAAATAAAAATAACAATTTTTATAGCTAGAAATAATATAAATTTTGCCAAATTAAAGCCACCCATAATCCAGTGCAAAAAAGCGATGCAACCAGTATTTAATCAGCCCTTTTTATTATTGGCAAATAATATATTAATTGAAATATATTTGGAAGATTCTAACTTTTCAAAATAAATTGTCTTATAATCCTCAATGTAATTATTTTGTCAAGTTTTTTTTTCAATCTTACTAAAATCTTATCCTTTCAAAGAGAAGACATATATTCTTCAAGTGATAATGTTAACTTTGAAATTCTTGTTCTAGATTGTTTGCTATATGTAGTTAAGGATGGCAATAAAGAATTTCAAATAAAATAAAAGTAAACTAAGTAGTTTCTGATAACTTTAAAGAAATAGGTCTCCATATAAGGGTTCATTTCTGCTTGTAAGTCAAATTTATTTCAACATGTATAAAATGAATTTTATTTCTAAAAGTTAAATTCTCTAATTGAAAGGAAACACTAAATGTGAATCACTTTGTATCCACTTGGAAGTTTCATGTTCAGAAGTAGGTAGGCCATTTATCTGAGGAGGAAGGAGTAGCGGGTAGTAGTAGCAGGCAGTATTGTGAGCTTGTCTAGAAGCATGTGAGCCCCTCATTATCAGAGTCCTGGGTTGGCTTCATAGATTCTTTGTGCCTCAACTTCTACATCTTATAGATGCAGATATTGTCTACCTCAGAGCCATATGAGTGTCAAATGAAATATTGCCTGTATAGTACAGAGCCTTTTAATTTTTCTAGTACCTATTACTACTGAGAATCCACTGTATCTTTAAATATGAACTAAGAAAAAATCCTTTCTTTGAAAATTATAGATCAATTGACGTAGTTCTTTATTGAAGTACAAGGAATTGCTATAGAAGACATTTTACAAGAGCTAGTTTAATTGATTTTGCCAGTGATTGATATATTCTTGTTATTATATAGGCAGTGAAGGTGGGGAGAATTTATATAATCTTACCTTTCAACATCCAAGTGATGATCAATAACAGGAATGAAGGGAAAGAGATTGTTAACAGATGTCATAATTTAAATCATATAGAGGTTCCAGACTTGAAGTGTAAAGAGTAAAACACACCTTTGAGTTAAAAGAACAAATTTGTGTCTGCTTTTGTATTTGCAGAGCTAAACGAAATAATTTCTATTTGCTAATTTGTTCTTAAAAATGTTTACAACAAAGGCTAGGATGATATAAAGAACAGATAGCAAAAAACAGTAATCTTCCACATTTCACAGAATAATATTCAGAACTTACAAGTCACAAACCATTTCTTGGGTTTACAAAGAGCTCATAATATAGTTATATCTGTATCATTTTGATTCTCTCTCTTTAAAATATATCCCTGTTTTTCTTGATTTATAAAATTAACAGACTGTGACCTTTATAGGTTCAGGATAAATTCCGTCTAGACTTATCTGATGAAGAGGCAGTGCATTACATGCAGAGTCTGATTGATGAAAGCGTCCATGCTCTGTTTGCTGCAGTGGTGGAACAGATTCACAAGTTTGCCCAGGTAAGTTCTCTGAAGATGGTTATTTTTCTCTATTTCTCCAACTATGACCCCAGAGTTCTCAGAGCACCACATCAGCTGACATCTTTTCTATTTTTTGGCCAAGCTTTTTAATATCTCAATCGCCAGCTAATAGGAACTCATTCAAGTCATTCCATGCATTATTAACTCTATAATTTTTCTTAGTAATGATTGAATTGTGGAGCATTAGCAAATGTATGTGTCCTTTGTAATCAGTGGTGAATATTAAGGTGAATCTTGAGAATGATCTTGGTTCTAATAGAGCCGTAGCAAGTGAGGCTTGGACATTTGATGGGTTTGGTATATAAAGAAATGCTAGGAAAGGAGTTTAGAAGCTGAGAGAAGCATTGCATATCACTCAAAGCTCACCAGGTCTAGCTGTAGACATGCTGTTAGCAGAATCTCACATAAATATTTGAGAAGACTTTTTCATACTTGACTATGGTGATAAACCTCAGATTTTTTTTTTTTTTTTTTTTTTTTGGTAGCATGAGACTTTTTTTTCTTTTTTTTTTTAATTTTTTTTTTAAATAATAAATTTTATTTTTATATTCCCCATACAATTGCAGCCCCCCATTCTGACCCCAATCCCTCCCCTCCCACCCCCGCCCCCCAAAAAGTGTCTCTGGTTCATAGTTTTTTGTTGATTTTGATTTTCACTTTCTTATAGTTATTCATTTTCCTGGTCCCTTATTTAAGTTTTCTAGATTCCTGCTATGAGTGAGACCATCCGGTATTTTTCTTTTTCTTTTTGGCTTATTTCGCTGAGCATGATCCCTTCCAGCGCCATCCATGTTGCTGCAAATTGCATGTGTTTATCTTTTTTGAATGCTGAGTAATATTCCATGGTATATATGTACCACATCTTCTTGATCCAGTCATCTATTTTTGGGCATTTGGGCTGTTTCCAAAGCTTAGCTATTGTAAACAGTGCTGCAATAAACATAGGGGTGCAGGTGTTCTTTGGAATTGATGTTTCTGTGTCCTTTGGGTAAATACCTAGGAGTGGAATTGCTGGATCATATGGAAGCTCTATGTTTAGTAGGCCCAGAAATCTCCACACAGCTCTCCATAGTGGTTGGACCAGTTTGCACTCCCACCAACAGTGCAGGAGAGTTCCTTTTTCTCCACACCCTCGCCAACATTTGTTGTTGCTAGTTTTTTTAATATGTGCCATTCTCACTGGTGTAAGATGGTATCTCATGGTAGTTTTGATTTGCATTTCCCTGATGACAAGTGATGTTGAACATTTTTTCATATGCCTGTTGGCCATTCGCATTTCCTCTTCAGAGAAGTTTCTTTTTAGCTCTTCTGCCCATTTTTTGGCTGGATTATTTTCTTTGTTGTTGTTAAGTCTCATCAGCTCTTTGCAGATTTTTGTGATCAGTCCTTTATCATTAGTGTTGGGTGCAAAAATGTTCTCCCAGTTGGTGGGGTTTCTCTTTGTTTTTGTTATTGTCTCTTTTGCTGTGCAGAAGCTCTTTAATTTGATGTAGTCCCAGCTGTTTATCTTTGCCTTCACTCTCACTGCTTTGGGTGATGTGTCTGTAAAGATGTCTTTTATGTGCAAATCACGTAGCGTTTCGCCTATATTTCCTAAACCTCAGATTTAAAACCTGTTTTAATTATGAATTTTATCATAATAATGGCTATGAAAATGGTTAGAAATAACAATGTTGGGCCATTTTCCTCTAACATACCCTCACAATCCTGTTGTTGTGAAGTCCTTCCTAACTTCACAGAATCAGTTAATAATTCTACTAATCACCCAATTTCAAAGCCTATCTTCTTTGGCTTCTTCCTCAACCAGTATCTGCTATGTCACCCAGCCTTGTCATTTACTATTTCTTCAATTATCCTTTTCTATCATTTTTCTCACTAGTATTATCTAAAACTAATTCTTCTTCATTTTACAATACCTTGGATAATGAAAACCTTTCATAACTGTTCTCTCTAATTTAGTCTTTTTTTCCCCCCTGCACTTTCTCATCTTTATTCTTTGAAATACTTAGATAAAATATATTTTCACAAAATGATGTTTTACCTTGTTTCTTTTTTCTTAAATATAAATATGTATGATAATCCCATTTCCTAACAATGAAGTCCAGTCTCTGGCAATTCAAGCTCTTCTAGAATACTGCTTCAGATTACTTTCCAAACTGTTCTCCCAATGTTCTCTGGATAATCTCTCCCATCTCTATAACTACTTTTTTTTCCTCCCCTATGCACTCTGTGACTACTTTTTTTAACTGCTATTTCTTCAGCCCAGAATATCCATCTTCTTAATTAAGAATTTTCTGTAAACTTCTGCTTGCCAAAATCTAACCCATCCTCTAAGAGTTGTTCTTAATTTTGCTTTGATTCATCTTCCTCTGAATTTTCATAGTACTTTGTGCCTTTATTATGAGTTGTACCTATTTTGCTTTTTACTATAAATATCTGGAATCTTGCTTTGTAACTCCTGAAATATGTACCTCTTGAAGACTGTGCTATATCTGTCAGTTAATAGTGACCCAATACCTCATACACCTAGGAAAAAAAAAGAAAAATTAATGAACATCAAGGAATTCTTCCCTTAAGTGTTTATGCTCTTTTTCTGGGGCTTGAAGAAAATGTTTTTTTCCTGAACACCACTCTAGTTCATATTTTCTTCCAAAGTTAACTCAAGACCTGATTCACAGGTCATTAATCCTAACCAGTCACTTCTCAGGACACTAAAGTGTGCATCTGATGGCAAGTAAGTGACTTAATAAATTCACCCAGTAGCTAGTGGTAGATCTGAGTCTGTGTATAACATAGCAGAATATATGGAGGGAAGAGCAAGAGAAGTATAATGACTTAGTCAACTTCATATGCCTAGCAAGAGATGAAATAAGACTTGAGCTCAAGTCTTTTGACTCACTTCTAGTACCTTTGAAGCCAGGTCTCTTAATTGTCAGTATCTTGCTCATCAATTAACCGTATTATTTGTCAATGAAAATTTTCCCTGGCCACAGCCTGCACAATCCTGTTATTTTCTCACTTTTTGTATTTTTGTATGTACACACCTTTTTTGTTTTTTTTAACTCAACCAGTTATAACATGCTTGAGTTAAAAATGTTTCATTCCTCTGTCTTTGCATTTTCATGAAAGGATATGCCTGTCTCTATTTCATCTTTCTTAGTCCCTGTCCACAACTGCAAATTTCTCTCCTTCATGGATTTTCCCCTTGTTCCATACTTGAAATTTCTAACTTTTCTCCTTTATTTTCCTGGGCAACTACAACATGTCATGAAACTAAATCTCTACATTTACAATTAGTGCTTCTGTCTAACACCTATGTCAGTTATCTGTAACTACGTAACAAATCCTAGCCTATTATTTCTTATGATTCTTTAGTCAGTACTTTAGCCAGAGCCCAGGCACAGGATTTTTTTGTTTTCCATTATGTCAGGTGAGCTCTCTCATTTAACTTTCCTCAGCTGCTGGTTGGTTTTATCTGGAATGTCCAAAAAGGCTTCATGCACACATCCTTACATTGATGGTCCTCCAGATAGCTTGTATTTCTCTACTCCTCCAATCCCCATCCACTACTGTAGCCTAAGCTGCTGCTCTACTTGTATGGCAACTGGTGTCCCCAAGAGAATGTAATGTGAAAGCAGAAGTGTCAGTCTTAAGATAAGTGGCAAGTCTAGCCCAGATTCATAGAAGAAATATCTGCTACCTTTTGATGGGAGGAAAGGGATGCATATGCAGAGAGGAATTAGTTGTGTAGACTTAACTGCCACTCATCTAATTTGCTCCAGTGTAAGTATGAGCTTTGAAGTTCTCTAAAAGAAACTAGTGACATACTTTACTTTAATGGTATAGTTTTGAAATTCTGTTGTCAATTTGTATAGCATGCCTGTTTTGCTTTGCCAAGAATCAAATTATCTAAAAATAGAAGAACTATTTCTCTTAATTCTCGGTGTTAAAAATAGAGAGGAAGAGCCTGATTTTTATTTAAAAAAGGTACCATGCTGTTATTTGAGGTACATAATAATGGAAGACCCTTAAATTACCAATTTCTCTGGGCCTTTGATTCTACAAAGTGGTTGATATTGTGATAAAAACTAACAAATTCAGTCTGATGTCAGAGATGTACAGGTTGTTTCCTGTATATAAAGCTAATAAGGACTTTCACAAAGACAAAATGTCATATACTCTTTCTGTTCACAGAAAGCATGTGAATATGATGATGAATAGGCATACTCTTAGAGAATAGACAGATCACTTTATAAGCATGAACTAATAGTTGAATATATTTCTTTGAAAGAATCATTGTCTGTTTCCTAATTTCCCCTTTTCCAGTTCTTCAGTAAAATAGTAGATAAGATAAAGAAACCCTACATAAATAGTTATTTAAAAGTACTTTGATTGCTATAAACTTTTGAACTAGGATAGATTCTTGGTAGCAATTGTATAGAAAATCTAAGGCAATATTAACAAGAATATTGAGACTTAAGAGCAATTATCTGGATGACTCCAGCAACGTAAGCACCACTCTCATCACCCTAACCAGGTGAAAATGGAGGTTTAATGCTATGTGAATATTTATGTAATTTTTTTGATCATATATCAGCACTCCATTCAATATTAAGACAGTATATGAGACAACTATAGCCTTTATTTAAACTTTCTACTTTGAATAGTGCTTCCCCTTTTTTAAATAACATGTAGTCCTTGCTATAAACAACACGCAGGTGACTTTTAGCATTATCCCCTTTTATAGATGAGAAGACTGAGCCACAAAAAAGATTGTTTCCTAGCTTATGAAATTCAGGTCTTCATCATAATCCCTTAGTCTTTATCCTAAGAAATGAACTTGAAAATGTTTTTACGGCTTTCCTAAACAGTTCACTTGGGCCCTTCGTACTGTACAACTGAAACAGTATCAAAATAAGAGTCTAAGGTTGTAGAAGTTCATTGGAAATTGCTTAGTCAAGAGATACTAAATGAGGTCTTAGACTCATAAATCTTATCGAATTATAAAATCATAGAAGCATTAACTATTTCTAATATCTGAAATTTATCTTCTCTTTGAAACTAAGTATTGAGACTAATAAATCACATGCATGCTCAAATTCTGATAACCAACATCCTTTTGTCACTCAGCATTTATTTTTTTATTATTTTTTTAAAGATTGATTTATTTATTTTATTCAAGAACCAGGGTACAGGAAGCGCGGGAGGTTGAGAGAATTCACCAGAGCCAGAGTAGGGAGCAGAATAGGCAGACAGACCAAAGACACTGCTGAGGGGAGTCTGCACGCCATGTGGGGTTCTCCCTGGCCAGCGGGGCATCGAACCAGCTCTGCAGAGGCTGCGGACAGCTTCACAGCGCGGCGCTCAACCACTGTACCACCAGGGAGGCCCACAGCATTTATTATACTGGCATATAATACCAATATTATGCGTACTGGTAATTGATTTATGCTAATTTTAGTGCATTCCTATTAATAGCTATAGATTGTAAACCAGTTTTTGTATAATGGAGTTAGACTATGCATACTAACAAAAGTTACAGTTGTTTCAACATGAAAGAAATGATATTCTAAAAGAAGACTAAAAATTGGCAGATACAGCTATTACACTGAAATGCTGAAAAGGCTTATTTTCTTCCATCATGTCATTCTGTAGGAAGGGTAGAGATTAAACACTGTGATACCCGTTGCCTAGCAACACCCACCTATTAGTGGTACAAATTTTCCACTGAAAAACACTTTTATTTGGGTCATTGTCTTTGAAATTGCATCATCAGAATTCTTCTCCCTGCTGAAATGGTCTTTAAAGGTCTTTCTAGTCTTGTCTGTACAAAAAAGTAGAGGTCACATAGTTTGGGTCACTTACCATTCTGAAACTAGGCCTTTCAATGGTAATCTCTCCACTGTCACCATTTCTTCTGTTTCTGCTTTTCAGTCTCTCTTCACTGATTGATGTTCTAGAAGTGTGGGGAATGAGGTGTGGTTTCCATTAATCTTATATATTAAATCAAATTAACTGAATTTTGATAGGTTAACTAGGATTAGAGAGAGATTTTTGTAGACTGAATATAAAAAATTAACAGGTTGTGTGCAAACTCGTTTCTCCATTTATTTCTCTAGGTGTAAAGTGTAAACATTACTTGTGTCCAGAGTATAGATGTGTTTGTATTAGGTTTGTGTGCATATTTAGATCATATCAACTGTCTTTGACAGTTGAGAAATTAGTCCTTGTGATGGTGTTAAAACTTCCATTTTGTTTCAGTTATTTGAAAGTCATTTTTCAAGGGGACAGTGGAATTTTCTTTTTCTTTTTAAATCTTTGTAAAATTAATAAATGTGATTAAATATAAAAATATTGCATGCATTAATGTAATAATGATAAATATTTTGATATATTTATAGACACTAGTCTATTCGAATACACCATAATGTATTTTTATTTGTGAACTTCATTTGATTTTATGTGACACTTTAATGAAGCTAGCTTTAAGAACTATACATCATCTAATTAACATGTGGGCAAGGGAAATTATCATGTGCAGGCTAGTACTGCTGTTCTGATTATCTACTTTGATTCTGAGTTTCCTGAAATGAAGTATTCAAAGGCAAGCATCACAAATTATTATTATTAGAAATGAAGAAGCATATAAACAGATTCCTTTTTGAAGACCAAGTTTTTCTGTCACTAAATTATAAAAGAAGAAAATTTCTTTGTATGTGCTTTTCATTCAGCATAGAATTTCTCTTTTGAAAACTATTTTTTTGGTACAGAAATGATTCATTAATATATTTAAGCCACACAGAGGATACAGATTTTAAAGTTTTCCTTCTCCCTTTCAACTTTATACCAAAAATCAGTGTCCATTGCAGTGCAACAGGAGAGGACTTGGGGTCAACAAGAATCAAGACTGCTTTTTAGTCATTGTACGAAATAAATCTTATCCCGCTTTATCATATTTGTCTCAGACTAACTGTTCCTAATGACTCTCTTTTATAGCATATCTATAGGTTACTTGGCATAGCTGATTTTTTTCTTCTGATGATCAGATGAAAGATTGTTGGCCCATGTATCCACTCTCTTGCACTGTAGTGGACATTGTCACAGCTGCCTATTCTCAGCCCTAGGTATAAAGTGTAAATATTAGGTACTTGCTGTATATTTAGACTTGGTAACATGCCAGTGAGGACCTTTTTTCTTTTCCTCAGAACATTTTTTTATTTTATTTTTTAGAACTTTTTTTTAAGATTTATTTATTTGTGTATATAAGAACTGGGGTATAGGTCAGAAGTACCAGGGGTGAGGATTCACCAGAGATGGAACGGGGAACAAAACAGGTGGACTGACTGAAATACACTGCTGAGGGGAACAGCAGACAAGAAAGGAGAGGTCTGCTGTGCCATGTGGGTTAGCTTCCTGGCGGGAAATTGAGCTCTTGCTGCAGTGGCTGCATATTGCTTCATAGTGCTGAGACTTAACGTTTGTGCCATGAGGGAGGCCCCCAGTGAGGAACTTTAACAAGTTGAATAGCCTGCATTTTCACTTTTCATCATTTTCTACCTCCCTCCAAAATAATTTTCCTTGTAGCTCTGATGATTGTGTAGCCCATGATACTTATATCCCCCGCTTGGCCCACTTCTGGATGCATACATGCACGATGATGATATAAAAGCATTGTGTCTTCAGGAATTATGTCTTAAGTGACTTGTGGTCTCCCCACAGAACCTGACTATAGTAGTCATCAAATAAATGTATGTCATTTTATATAAGTGCCAAGGACCATTTGGCTTATTTTTATCATAGAGTTTTCAGCTGAGAATAATATTAAGTCAGCATGAGGAGGGCTTACTACTGCATGTCAGGACTGCTAATTGCTTCATGTGACTGATGTCATTATTCTGTGTAATGTTCAATGAGGTGGAATTGTCTCCCTTTTTTCCAGAATTTTAAGACAGTTGACTTACCTGCCCAAAGTCAGGCTGCAAATGAATGCAGAGTTGACTTACCTGCCCAAAGTCAGGCTGCAAATGAATGCAGAGTTGGGATTTGAAGTTGTTAGTCAGATTACAATGATCACAGCCTTCACCATCAGATTCTTCTGAGGAGTTGGTGATAATACTGCCTTTAAGAAAATATTTAAAGAGCATCTTTAATTGCAAACTATGTTCCTTTCATTCGCATTAAAATAAATCTAACCATATTTTCTAGAATTTGTATTAAAATCAGCATCTTTCACAATTTTGCTCTTACACATGTAGGCACATACATACACATGTGGGAACATATATACACAAACATTTTTCAGAGATTTTTCTCTTCCATATTTCCTCTTAGAGTACTAATGATTTGAAGTTCATAGAAACCATGTTTTTTTTTTACACATAATATTCTTAATTTTTTCAAAATAATGCCAGCATATATTTTATTAAGCATAAGAACGTATGAGATATGGATGTCTGTTGTGTATTCACCCAAACAAAATGATCAGAATTGCTTTTAATGAGAAAGTGGGTGATTGACACCTGCTCATGTTAAAGACAATCATTAACTATTGCTTATTAATTTTGCATTAAATAGTTCTCAAGATTAATACATTGCAGTCTTTGTTTCACTGAAGGCTAAATTTGAGAAATAATAGAGGGGACTGTTACAGGTATTTATCAACCTTGTAAGTAACTTATGAGGGTACTGATCACAAAATAGATCCTGAAAGTGTAGATTTCTTTATATCTACTTAATATTTTAATGTTGCTTATTGTGAATATGTTAGCATATGGTTAATATGCTGGCCCCAGAATAACTCTGGGCCTGGGCCTCTCTTGTTCTTTTAGGATTACTTTCTTTGATTTGATTCCAGACCACTTCTGGAATGAAGTGGTTGTGCTCTTTGGGACAAGTTAACAAAGTTTTACATTTACTCTAAAAATGACACATTCTCTGGGCACACTATTCAAAATATTAATCATCAATCACTTCAGAATTCAGTGAAATTTTTGCCTCACTAGTGCTGGATTTGCCTTCCATGTAATAATTCAGTCATCTTGGACATGTGGTCAACAAATATTCCCTAACCCTATTTTTTCTCGTATAAATTGATTTTTAAGTCACGTTTTTGAAACCCTGTACATTGTGGTTAATTGAAACTGTCTTCTTGGTGTTTAGTAAAGTAATTCTTTCACTTAATTTAAATAGAATTGTTTCTTTATAATTAAGAAGTGGAAATTTTTCCGATTAAGGAATTCTGTTCATCTACTTTCTAAACTTTTCTAGAATGCTTTAAACTATTATGGTTTTATCTTTCTTTGTGAACAATGAAGCTAATTATTTTCTATTTGTTTCTTTGTTTTTAATTTTTGTAGTACTGGAGAAAATGAAGATATGTTTGGCCCATCAAGATGCTTGGCTTTGTATGAAAACTACATTAGAAGCAACCCATGTATAAGACTAGCAAAAAGAAGATACCATATATGCTAAATATTAGATGGTGCCTGATTTCCTTGTATGTCATTGTTTATATATATGGTCTTGGAGAGATTGTTTTAAAATATTGTATATATTTATTTTCAAATGTATACTATGTTAATATAAGTTTATTCAAGCATCATGTATATATTATGAGAGTTCTGAAGAAATTATATGTTGAAATAGATAAACCTCTTAGTGCTTGGGTTTGAAATATCATTTCCCCCACTCATCTCTTCACATCAGGAAAGCAGTTATATGAATTTGAGTTAACTGTCTTGTCTCAGTTTAGAAGGTTTTTGTTTTATCTTTACCTCCCTCTTCCCCCTCTCTCTCTTTCCTATTAATCTCCTATCCCCAAATTTTGCTTTTTGTACATTTGTTTGTTGACTGACTGTAAAATACTTAAAAGTTTCATATATTACGGCTCATTATTTTACAATCTGAGAATTGTATATATTTCAAATAAGACATTTTATAATTGCTGTTTTTTCTTTAAACTACAGTTCACTCTTTTTCTAGTTTGTAAGTACATTAAGTAGCGTATGAAAATGTAAGCTATCTGAGTAACTGGCCAAAATAATACTAGAGCAGCTTTCAGTATTACGCTTAAGATATTTTTATATTTGCATGTAAATTGCCTTTCTGCAATATTTTTTTAATGCAAATGTTTTCAAAAGCTTTTTGAAATACCTCTTCTAGTCTTGTAATGTATTTCAGTAAAACATTGTTACCACTGATCTTCTAGTGTATTCCTAACATACTAAGCCCTGTTCCAAAGGTGAAGAGTCCCACTAATCCACCTAGCTGTTTCCCTCATGGATCTTTGGGGAAAGGGAATGTGCATGAATGAGAAGAGGACAGGATAATAATCTTCACAAATGAAAGTGTTGCATTAGTCATGTGACCTTATTTAGAAAGAAAAACAATTATGTTTTTGCTGAGTAAATATTAATTATCAAATGATGGAAAAGATTAAAAGGGTTGAATTAAAGAACATTTTCATATAATGACATTAATTATGTTTATTATCAAATTCTTATCTGAGAACTTTCCTCTTTAGAGTGGGGTAACCAGCTGGAAAATATGCATATTTTAAAAAGCTACCCTAGAGATACATGAAATGGGATTTGTAGAAAACGCAACATGCAGGTTTGAAAGATGGTAAAAGATGAGAACTTAGCAAATCGTTAAGAGAGTTTATCCCAATGTGATGGGCAAGTTACATCCTTTGTATTGCTTTAAATTTACTTCCCATGTTTACATCTTTATTTTTCTGTTGCCTGAAAGTTTTTCGCCCATTTACATTCTCATTTGTTCCTATATCTAGTGGCATCTCCTCCAAAAAATTCTTAATGTCCCTGTTGAAGTGATTTCTCCAACCTTCTCGACTCCTGTAATTATTTATAAAGTGCCAAAAAATTACAAAACATAAAAAATATTTTTCTTTATAAACACCAACTTGTAATTGGTGTTTAATAAAGTTGGGTGTTTTTGTTATACTTATATCTCCTATTTTAGACTGTTGCAAACTTTCTATAAAAGGGCCAAGATGCTTTGATATATTAAGTGCTTTTAATTTCACTCACAACTTAACTCTGCTGTTACATAATAAGAAAGCAGTCATAGACAACAAGTAAACAAATGGGCATCACCGTATTTGACCTTCCAGCCATAATTTGCTGACCCCTGTTTTAATTATTATATGGCAACACTGAATCATCTTGCTCTTTTATTAAACTTCACAATATTTAGTATAGATCATGGTGTGTATCTAGCAGACCTTCATAAATAATATTTGGACTAATATAATATTTATAAGGTCAAATGCTGACAACTAGTCAGGAGCATTGATCTAGTATTGTATTCAGTGCAAAAGTGGTAAGAACTATCAATATATAGGAGACAAAGTGTTTTTAGTGGTGAAGACAGTTATTGAGTGAAGAAGGGGCGTAGCTGAGGGTAGACAAAAACTGTGGTTTCACTGAGTATTTTGGCAGTGGGTGCTGAGTTTACCACAGAAAGAAAAGTGATTGACCAGTTTTAATTTCTGTTGCACAAAATAACCTCTGCGCCTACTGTTTTCCCCAAAATTCTATTGTCTTGTTCAGAGCCCTGTCTTCACAATGCAGTCTGTTTCTTTATTATTGCCATCCAGATTCTTTAGTACAGTTTAATAGTATTTTGTGCAAAATGCTTACTTTGAGTTTGAGAAATTTCTGAGAACACAGTGCTTTGATTAGAAAGTGAGTAATAAGGTCATTCCTGTAAACATTTAGAGTGAGATTTCTGAGTAGAAGAGAGAGAATGTGAGTCACAGACACTGAGAATGGGATTGTGAAAAAGAAAAATGAAGTGGTTCATATTCCTAAAGAAAGGATTGATACACTGATGTTTTTGCCATTCTCTGTCTACTAAGGGTAGATGTTCCCTGGCTTATTTTTGTCATAGAGTTTTCAGCTGAGAATAATATTAAGTCAGCATGAGGAGGGCTTACTACTGCATGCCAGGACTGCTAATTGCTTCATGTGACTCATGTCATTATTCTGTGTAATGTTCAATGAGGTGGAATTGTCTCCCCTTTTTCCAGAAGTTTAAGACAGTTGACTTACCTGCCCAAAGTCAGGCTGCCAATGAATGCAGAGTTGGGATTTGAAGTTGTTAGTCAGATTACAATGATCACAGCCTTCACCATCAGATTCTCCTGAGGCATTGGTGATAATACCTCTATGTGCATGTGTGTGTTTGGTGTATTAGGCATCAGTCTCTAAAAAACAAAACTCTTTTCTTTTTCTATTGTCACTAACAGGAATACCAAAGTTACAGACTATACTAATAAAGTAAATTAAACAAATTTCTAAGAAACTGGTTGTGTTGTTATGACATGTATTCACACCTGCCTTGGGATGGGAAATAAATTATTTAGTAAAAACATAAAGACAAAATAAATCTTAGCTGTGGAACTGTTAACCTATAACCATGATATACATTATATCCTTGCACATAGATATAACATTGCAATTACAAAAACATAAGCCAGACTGTCAAGGGGAATCTTTTCCCCCAAATACATTTAAAAACCCACATGGACTGGATTTGCTGTAATTAAATGCAAAAATACACTGGTTTGCCAGAATGAGTAATTTGATATATTAATACTTCTCCATAAAGAATGCAGCTAAATGGGGTCCTGGAACAGAAAAGGGACAGTTAAAAAAATAAAATATAGACTAGTTTAAAAAAAAAACGTGGAGCGAGTAGGCTCAGAAGGTAGTGTGCACTCTACCGGGTCAGTGCTTAGAGAAACAGCTCACCTGAAGGTCTCCAACCTGACACGCTTTCAGTCCTCATCTGTCTTTCTTGACCTTGATATATTTCAAAAAATCTGAGACAGTTACTTTGTAGAAAATCCCTTTCTAGTTTACTTTTGTCAAATGTTCCTCACGGTTTATTCCTTTTGTTGTAGGACTATTTCAAAAATAATGCCTTGTTTCAGAGCACTTTATCACAAGGCACAGTGATGTTGATTTTTCCTAGCAGTGGTAACTTTTATAGTTTTGTAAGAGATTTATTTCTATCTTTCTCCATTCTGAAGTTAACTTGTGTATGATACTCATATTGATAACCAGTTCATAAGGAGAGGATGAATTTTCATAAGAAGATACTTTGAAACTATAAATATAGTGCTTATTCTTTACCATGCTTTTACCCATGACTTTTAGCATATATTGATAATTCTTGCCTGTTTCAGCCATTATCCACAAGGGGATTGGTTATTTTTGGAGTTTTATTGGGAAACTTATTTACCAATTGATGACTTTTAAAAATTTTGTTACTCCCTCTACACTTGTTAGTGTTTCCTTTTAAGATCGAGCTCTTCTTTGTCAGAGGTTGTCAGGGGCTGGCTCTGTCAAAAGAAAAAGTTAAAAAGGATAATGCAAAGGTGGAAATGTTCTAGAATTGGAAATTGGAGATGGTTGTATCAATCGAGTGTTTATTAAAAATCATAATACGTTTTAAGGCACAAATCATACCTCACCAAAACTGATTTTGAAAAAAGAGGGCAGAAGAAAGTCTCTAAAGCAAGGAAACATTGACTTTGTATCTCACAGGAGGTGGGTAAATGTGAAGTAAGAGACTCCATCCCACCCTCTTCTCAGCTTCTGCAACTGTAGCTTGAAGAGCTGGTTCTACCTGGAGGACACCTGGGCTTCTCCTGAGCTGGATCTGGGTTCTCTCTTCCTTGCCTGGCATTGCAGTAACTGGCCTTGTCCTGTGTCTGAGCCCTGGCCTGCATCACCAATTCCGTACTGCTTTCCTGACATGAGTTCCTACAAGCCTCTCTGCTGAGGACTGCGTGACTCTCCAGCATAGCAAGGAAGGGTCCCTGCCCTGGAGACAAACAAGCAATCAGATAAGTGGTGGAGGATCCCAGCCCCTGGCTTGGCTGCAGGCATACAAATGCTGAACTATTGACCTCAGTGTAAATTACAAGTTCAGGTTTTTTTTTTTTTTTTTTTTTTTAGAGGCATGTTTTTATTATTTATTTGTTTGTTTGTTCGTTCGTTTTGTTTATACATGCACTGGGTACAGTCAAGAAGCGCGGGAGGGTGAGAGAATTCACCAGAGCCAGAGCGGGGAGCAGAGCAGGCAGAAAGACCGAAGTACACTGCTGAGGGGAGCAGCGGGCGGCAGGAGAGGTCTGCGCGCCATGTGGGACCCTCCTTCAGTGGCTGGGGAGCAGCCGGGGATCGAACCGGCGCCGCAGAGGTCGCCGGCAGCTTTGCAACCCAGCGCTCAACCGCTGCGCCACCGGGGAGGCCCTACAAGTTCAGTTTTTAAAGAGAAATAGACATTGGAAGTTAGTACAGTGACTTGAGTCTATACAGATTCTGAAACATGGAATCAATTCAGAAAATACTTGTGATTGGAAAATAGAGCATTATGCAGAAAGCAGGAGCAAGACCCAAAATATAAGCAGAAACCTCCAAACTTTTGAGCAGTTCTCTTTGCCCTTGATTTGGAGTGAGAATACAACCTCCTTCACCATAAGGAGGAGAAGAATAAACTATGAATGCTTCACCCTTTGAAAAGGTAAGCACGCTGCCTTCCAGGTATGAGTGGTGAATTGGTAGTGGTAGTACCAATTCTGATTAATTGGTGCTTCTTAGGTTATGAGAGTGGAAAGCTAAGTTGGCATTCTGGGACAAGTGTTAACTTTTTTTTTTTTATTTCAGGTGAGGAATTAGCCATCCCAAAATGCATGCTAGGAATGCCCAGGGGTTCTAGCCCACTGCATAGGGTTACTGCTGCAAGGTAGAGGTATCGGCTTGTTTTTCCTTAGGAAAAAGAGCCACATGCATGTGCCAGAATCAGATACACAGGAGCCTAGCTCAAATTTCCGAACCACTGTTAATTGGAAGTAAATTCTTAATGACAGTAAAGAGTTTATTAGAAAATCAAAGTAAAGTTTCAGAACCTGGAGGCAGTCTGGCAAACTACTGTGAGAGCTGGAGCAATAAACACAATTTTCAATTTTGTTTATACAGGTAGAAACAGTCATTGACATTAAGAATGCAATTATTCTGATAAGAGGGGCTTCTCATTTTAAATTGCTCCAACCTAATGACATAATGCTATGAGAGGAAAGCAATGCAGGATTTATTCTTTTCTCTCAAAAGTATGCCTTGCTGAGATACAAAGTCTGGACACCTATTGTTAAATCTTAAATTTTTTTCTTGGTCATCAGTTGGTGTGAACAACTGATTTTACCTTCAGGTAACAGAATCCTGCATAAACTACAGGATAGAGCCTGTTCACACGTTGAAGTCTATGAAAAATGTCTGTGCTCTTATTTGCTAAACCAGAGAGGGTGAAGACGTGTCCCCAGAAAATTTTACAGTATCTTTACGATAGTATCTCTGAATCCAAAATCTGCTTAGAACTTGTTCTCAAATATTATCACATGTCCCCATGAGAGCATGACATCCAAGACCACTACAACTAAATAACCCACCCACAGTTCTGGTAGTATTGGTATCCCAGGATGTCAGTAGTGGACCTCTCAGACATAAGTGCCATCTTATTTAATATTACCGAGTAGGAATCCCAGAAAATGTCAAAATTTCCTTTTTTTGGCTGAATAATATTCTAGTGTGTGTATATATGTGTGACTATTATAAATAATGCTACAGTGACCATGGGAGTGCAGATATCTATGAGTAGTGATTTCATTTGCTTTGACTAGATCCTGAGGTGGAATGGTGTATTGTGAATTTTGAGTCTCTCTATCCCAGTTCTCTGAGGCCTACATACCCCTTTTCTTGTGATTCCTTGCCAGAGGTACCTTAGATTTGTGTCAAGCTTTCAGGCCTCAGTAGCCCTACTTCAAGCCAAGCCTGTTTGGGCATTAGCCCGCAAGGGGATTGTTTATTTTTGGAGTTTTATTGGGAAACTATTATTAGAAATCTTTTCTTCTCTCTCTGCATTCCAATTCTATTAAAAATCCGTCGCACTAAGCTTTGCTTCCTTTGCTTTTGTGCATGTGCATAGTCAAATTCATTTTAGAGCATGTACCCCTTAACTGTTTGGGTACCCCTCAGTTGCATGCTAACAAATTCTTCCTTCATTTGCAGACTTTAAACATTTTACTTCAGCCCTCCACAGTTCAAATGTTCGACTAAAGTGGTTGGTCCTTTTTAGTATTACAATCAAATACAGCCCTACTCAAAATCCCAGCCAATGCAATTTCTCAGCACATATGGAATTGAACTTTGCAAGTAAAATGCCAGCTTAGCAATGAAATGTCCAATTGCAAAGAAATGCAACCCCACCCCACGCTAATAAAAAGGAAGCGAGTTGAAAATGTGTTTACACACGTTACTCCTGTTTCTATATTCCAATTTTCTTTGAACTCCCAAAGGATAAAATAGTTCATATTATGATTTCTGGGAGTTTTATGACAGAGAGGATAACCTTCTTACTATCACCATTTTTCTGAAGTTAACTCACAAAATTCCCACCTCTATATAGTTCTGTTTAGTTGAGAATACTTAATGATGATTAAAATGAATGTTCTTGTTGAAGTATATCATGTTACCAAAATTTCCTCAGATCTTTATATGTAACCTATCTTCAACTAACTGGCAGATTATTTTTTTTTCAAAACCACAAGCAACTTGTACCTTGTAAATTACCAGTGTATGTGACTTTGACCTGATAAGTATGAGTTTTATCACCTTTACATGTCAATTTCTTCTATCCATAGGCAGGCAAGGCAGGGGACAGTGGGGGGCCGGGATTGGTGGGGGGGTGTTGGCCAGGAGGCTGGCAGGCTTCCCGGCCTCAGACCAATCTTTACTCTTTTTCTCTGGGCTCCCTGGTGTTCTCTCATGGTCTTGCCTCTCCCGTAGTCTTATATCCTCCCACATCCACCCTTTCATAGCTGTCCTTCCATCTCTGAGTGACACTGGCCTCCAGGCTCAGGTGTGCACACTTATGCATGGCAACACCCATACCCAGGTGTCCATAATCAGGCACTCGTGCCCAGTGCACACAGTCCCAAGCACCTCCTGCATTAGTACAATCAAGACTGCAAGTGATAGCCACAGAGGCTAGTGGCACAAAAATTGCCTGATTAGTTCATTTCCCTACATGAGGTTTCCACTGTTTTCCATGGGATGCAGGGTAGAATGTTCATTATTAGAGGAAATAAAAAAGCACAAATTTATTTTTAAAAAATTTTATTTATTTATTTATTTTTTTTTAATAGAGGCATGTTCCATTTATTCATCTGTTTGTTTGCCTGTTTTTGTCTATGCATGCACTGGGTACAGTCAGAAGCGCGGGAGGGTGAGAGAATTCACCAGAGCCAGAGCGGGGAGCAGAGCAGGCAGAAGGACCGAAGTACACTGCTGAGGGGAGCAGCGGGCGGCAGGAGAGGTCTGCACGCCATGTGGGACCCTCCTTTCGGTGGCCGGGGAGCAGCCAGGGATCGAACCGGCACCGCAGAGGCCGCGGGCAGCTTCGCAACCCAGCGCTCAA